TCGGGGCTGGGCAGGGGTGGGCGGAGGGCACGGGCGCGGACGGGAGGCCATCGGGTGCCCGGCCCTTGGCCCTTCCCCGGCCCACTGCCATCGAAGGTCGGGAGAGCAGCCGGGACCTGCGCGCCTCCACTGCGCTGCGCTGCACCAGGGAGCGGCAGCAGCGTTGAAAAGTTGCCGCCTGCGCTTGAAGCACAAGCGTGCAAAAGCCCACGTGCCCTTGCCGCAAACGACCATAGACGCTTCTCCCCGGGGAGTGGGTGCAGAGGGTGTCCGAGGCTTGCAGGGCTGGGGGGATAAACCCCCTGGCTCGCAATGACCGGGGTTTGCTAAAGATTTCTAGTAAAATTAGACGTTTATGACTCGCCCTGTTCAAGATCTTTTTGACAAGCTTGTAAAATCAGCAGACAGCTTGTGCTCCTAGCTTCCCTGGGTGATGCTGCTAAAACCAGGCCAGCAAAGGCTCCACACCTGTATGAGGGCTGGTTTAGTGCAGTGTGTGGAAACCATCAGATGATCTTTTTTTATACATAAGAGTGACAGGAAATTGGGAGAGGAGGGAGAATATTTGCTTCTGCAAATATTCACAGTCCAGCATTTTTATATTGAATCTTGGAGAGGCAGGTTTAAATATTCAAAGCACTACTCTTGCTTTCTCATTCAGATAATTACATGCATTTGCAAACTCAAAGCAGCATAGTTATTTAGGGCTGCCTCTTACTTTCGTGGGAGTCAGCTGCACAATTCCTCTTGCAGTCTGTAGGGGCAGAATTTGGTACTTGTTGGCTACAGAAGTATTTATATTGCATCACTTCAGTTAGTGTGTGCTTTCAGGTTTGCTTTTACTTATAATGTAGCTATGCTTATGATCCTTGTATGCCTGTACTTATAATCAAAAATCTATTTTCTTTCTCAGGAGTGTGGTGCTTTAGTGAGCTGTTTTTCATAAAAGAGCCACAGGACATAACTGTCACAAGGAAGGATCCAGTGGTTTTAGATTGCCATGCCCATGGTGAAGTTCCTATTACCATTACATGGCTGAAAAATGGAGCAAAGGTTTCTGAAAATGAAAGGATCTACACTTTATCCAATGGCTCTTTATACATCAGTGAGGTGGAAGGAAAGAGAGGAGAACCATCTGATGAAGGATTTTACCAGTGTTTAGCTCTGAACAAATATGGGGCCATTCTCAGTCAAAAAGGTCATCTCACATTAGCAAGTAAGTTCTGGCCTTTAAATCTCTTTTCAGATCTTTATGACAGATACATAAAGTTATCAACTCAGTAACTTCTTCTGGTATGTGACAACACTGCTAATAAGAAAGTGCAACTCTATATTGTTCTGAGCACGTGTGGACTCATTAAAAAAGCTAGTATACATATAGAAAAGAATTTAAGCTCTGATTTAAGAAATTAAACCAAAAATATTTGGTTTTTAAAACGTATATGTTAGATAATTAGGCATATCCATCCCTGTAACCTCACTAAAGTTGTTGGTATTTCACAGGTAGTGAATTATTCTGTGTATTGTCTCTTGTAATTTCTTGGGTATTGAGTTTTGGTTTGAGCCCTCTTGCAGTTTGACAGTATATAAAACAATGACATGGACAGTATCCTGTTCCAAACAGGTTTTTTTTCAGATCCTGTTTGACAGGAACTACAGTTGTAATATTAAAAATGTTTTAATATAAGTGAATGATTTGAAAGTTTTGATTGTACAACAAACTGAATTGTTGACCAGTCCTTAGATACACAAGCCAGAGCAGAACCTCTGTGCAGGCCTGGGAGAGCCCTGCTGATTGAAATGTTGAGGCCTTACATTTCTGATCCACTCTTGTAGCCAAGAAGGACTGGACACTGGCTTTTTTGGGGGTGGGGAGGGGGGTTGATTGTTCAGAGCTTGTCTTTAGACAAATACAGGGGTCTCTGTTGAGTACCACCAGGAACTGAGAATCAGATTTTTAGAGCTATTTAATCATGTATGAATATAGATAGGGGTCTAGACTCTGTATGCTTCTTTAAGCACCTGTAGACTTTTAATAATCTGTCCCTGAGTGTGCTGTGTCTGCAATATTTTTGGCCTCTGCTAATTTGAGGAATGAGATGCCTACACTAGGAATCAAAATTAGGTCTGCTCCGTGACAATACTGAGGTTTGTCACTAGGCTTCCTGGCTGGAACTACAACATACATATATGTCACTTGAACATTGATGCTAATTCCCAAAGGAATAACAGTCCCTTGTAGGACTTAGAGCTCCAGTATTCTTTGGCAAGATGGATTTAGTTCATGGACCTAATTTCTCCAACAAGGTTTTCCTTTGCTCTCCTACACACACCTGTTTTCTGTGGAAGTCTGCAGCACTGATAGTTTTGTGGCAGCTCTAAGTAAACTGAGCATCTTTGGATATTATCAAATTAAATCTGAGATTGATTAATAGAGTCAACACTCTTACTAAAGTTTTAATTAAGAAAAGTTACTTCAGAATATGAAATATTGGGTCTGTTTACTGCCCTTTATTTTTAGTATGTTCCAGGATTTAGAAGGTGTCAGGAGAAGGTCTAAAAGGTTCCTTGTAGGTAGCTATGGACTGTGAGCATTCAAGAGATAATGGGGGGGCTTGCAACTGTTTAAGGGTCATCCTGACACTTTAGAAGGGGGTGAATTCCTAGTTCCCTTAAAAGCAATAGACTCTGCTCCTTCCTGTTTCAGTTTTTAATTTAATGTTCGTAGGATATTTCTGATGGAATGCTCAGAGGCAAAGTATTAGCATTGAAATTAAATAGTCTTCATTAGGTTTCAGAGTCAAGGCATGAAGGAGACCTCTTGTCTCATGAGGTGCTGTTGTAGGTTCAGAAAGATGGTTCTGGACTATTGTTTAGAAATATATTTTAGTTTTCTTCTTAATAATTGGGGTGGTGGAGAACCTAATTTTAAAAACTTGCAAGTTCAGCAGCAGCTGGTCGTTCCTGTGTCTGCAGCTGTGGGATGCTAGAAAATCAGGAGTCCTTATTGCAAGGATTATTATGGAGCATCATGCACTGAAAGATATGGACATGTGGAATTTTTTGTGGGCGTCTATTGTAACATCTTGTTGTATACAGACATTCTAGGTCTTTTACCAGAAATAATGGCACTGAATCCCTGTGAAATGTTTACATTTATAGAAAAGTGATTTTTGTGATAGATCTTTATTCAAGATTTTAACAAGGAAAAAATTGTGACATTGTTTTGAATTGTGTTGTGGAATGTCAGTTCTTGTTTTACTGTGTATGCCTTTCTTTTCTGATTTAAGAACTAAAACTGAATCCATGACAATAGCATGTTGGACATTTTGCTTGGATTTAACAAGTTTTTCTTTATGAAAATAAAAAAAAAACCCATGTGAGATGCTTAATTTCTCAAATGACTCAGAGTTTATAAGGATAGAGATCATGATGGGTATTGCATATAGATGACTAGTGACTAAGCAAGAAACCTGTCTCATGTCAGTGTGCTCCTTGTAATATTCTTCTCTTAGAACATTTAATCAATCTGCTATTAGCCATAAAATGAGGTGATAATTGACATGGTTATTTTAAAGCCTGTAAACTGTGTATGCAAAACTAGTCTTGAAGCTTCTCTTTCAGAAGTGTTCCTCGTTTAATAGGCTTTGAATGAGCTGCAGTTATTTCCAATGAATGAAAATAAAGTTTTGTAGGGTGATATCTTATGATCATTTCATTTGAGTAGTTGTCAATAATTGTTGTAAAGGCAAAAATGACTCTATCTTGTGGTCAGAGTAAAGAAACAACTATACATATTAAACAGGTGGAGAATAGGCATTAAATGGGCATTCTTTCTTTGGAGGAAAAAAGCAAATGGTGCTTTAGTCACTGATAACAGCAGGGTGCAAGGATGTTCTTTTACTTTGCCTGGTCAGAGCTTTCACCAGGAAACTTATCTTTTGCTTCCGAAGTGTAATGCTTAGTGTTGCATTTGGAAACTTAAAACTTTACTCTATCCAAGAGTTTTAAGATTTGAACCTACAAAAAGATCATGTCTTGGTTTCTAAAGTTAGGAACTGGAAGCTGAAGGTTGCACTCTAGGCAGAATTCCATTATTCATGTGCAAATTAAGAATTCACAGGGTTAAAAGGTTAGAAACTGGCCAGGATGAGGTTTACCCTGTGATAAAGAGCAGATGACCCTCATTCATTGGCCAAAGCTTTCATGTAGCTCCTCTGCAAAGTTAGTGATTGCCATGAATTGTTCTTGAGGAATGCAGAAATTCAAATGCGAGCAGGCCTTTCCTTAAGTGTCACTAAGTGCCTTATCTCATGAGCACATCAGAGTAGGTCTGTAGGGACAAGGTTCCTCCCCAGAGGCCCCAAGGCTTTGCTTTCCTGTTGTTCATCCATGCACAAAAGAATTTGACTAATTTAGCTTCCCCCCCAAGATTCCCCTACTTTCTTTTAAAGAAACAATGGAGTTAAGGTATCAGTTAGGTAAAAATAAATGTTAGTTTTGGTAAGTACTTGAAGTTGCTTCCAGCATAGAGTGATTGAAGTGCAGGGAGGAGGAGGTTCCTATTCCTTGTGGTTCTTTGTGACGGCCCCATGTGGGGGTATAATGCTAATAACTAAAGATTAAATGGTTTATGCAGAGTTCAGCCTATTGCAGCCACTACTACTAGAAGAATTCCCACATGCTAGAATATTAAAGCAGTAATACGTGGAGACCTTCTATAAACTGTTTACAGTTGTTTTTTTTGTAATTTCTCCAATTTAAAAATGGAAACAATAGTTTGAATTAAAAAAAAAAAAAAGGGGCCATCTCTCGGAAAATACGTCTAATTAACTAAGTTATGCTTGAGATAAGATGGTCTTAAGAAAAAGTGGAGGAGGAGGAGGATTGTACTCTGAAGTCACTAAAGCTGGCTATTAGGTAGTGATTGGACAGGATGCTAATTGTTTATTTCCTTTCCACAAAAGGTGGAAATTGAAGTCTTAAGATGGATGGAGGAGGCATGCACAGCTGCCTGGAACATTCCTAGATAACCCTTTTCTCAGCTTGTAGTCTTCAGCTGAATTGATCTTAAAGACTTAATTCTAAACCAGCAGGAAACAAAAGCAAAACTTTTTCACAGTTAACATGTAAATTTTTACATCATGTAAAAATAGAGGTTGACTGAATGTTTTAGAATGTCTATTAGCATTCTGGTTTGATTCCTGTTAGACCAGCTTTTCTCAACTGTGGGTCGCAAGAATATATGAAAGGGTCATGAACAAACTTAAAAAATGGATCAACAAACTTGAAAAATGGTTACCCCTTTAAAGGAGAAAATTGTGGGAAACTGTGGCTTTTCCCTTACAAACTGGCAGAGTTCCAGCCTGCAAGGGGCTGCTTGGAGGCCTCCCATGCCCCACACACACCCCGCTCTGCTCCACACACTGGCCTGGGGGTACTGGGTCAGGACTGGCCCTCCATGTTTGCAAATGGGTCCTGATACAAAAAGGGTTGAGAACCACTGTGTTAGACAAATAGTTGTCATGTATTGAATTGCAGCTCATGAAATGCAGATTATTTTAACTATAACAAGCTAAATTTTTTGTGGCACTGACATGAGTTGCAGCTTTTGACTAGACCTTAGAGACAGGGAAGTGACTAACTTTTTATGTGCTTCTAGTCACGTTACAAAGTAGTCAGATACATTACAAATCCTGGTATACAGCAGTTTTTGCTTTCAGTTTTAAAATATTTTGACTAATTAACAGTGCATTTAGCTGAATCACAGTGAATATGTACCCATGGTAAGAGTGTTCTCTCCTTTATTTAGATATGTACATCAATGCAGAACGTGTTTTATTAACAGAATAATAGCAACAATCCAACCCAATATACTGTAATCTTGTATAGCATTTTAAATTCAAATTCTGTTCAAGAGATTTTAGAGTTTAATAGAATATTTACTTTTATTAAATAGCATCAGAGAGAGAAGAAAGCTGTGAGGTGAAAGAAGAAGAGAGACAGTGCTTAACTAAGATTGTAAATGATGTGGAGAAAGTTTACCAAAAGTGTGTGTAGCTGTTGCAGATAGCAGGAGCTCTAGAAGAGAAGGCTCTGGCATTAATTGTCTCTCGATGGTCCAAATCTTGCAACTTCACTGGGATTATAGGTTGAGGAAGTTGTATGTGCTTTTTATTGTTTTCCCATCACTGTGGACCTACTTACGTAGGCGAT